AAATGAATCAAGCTAGATACACTACTAAAGTAGATATTTGGGGCCTGGGAGTGATTGCGTTGCATACATTGGATTTATTTGATATGTAAAGTTGTTTATTGATTGATTAAATTACGGTTTCAAACTTGATTAAATGTATAACATCGAGATAGATTATAGGGAAATGTCAGAATTGAGCTTTTATATGTGAATGTTTATAAGACTTCTAGTATTATATATTCTATGAATCTGATTGACCTAGTACTAAATTTAAATGGTCAGGAGTTAAAAGTTTAATTTACAAACACTGTTTTACATGTCATGACCATGTTATGCATTAATTACAAAAAAGTTTGAAACCGTAATTTAATCAATCAATAAACAACTTTACATATCAAATAAATCCAATGTATGCAACGCAATCACTCCCAGGCCCCAAATATCTACTTTAGTAGTGTATCTAGCTTGATTCATTTCGGGTGCCATATACTGTGCGGACCCGACATTCATGGTGTGGCTCATGGATGCCATGTTGTGTTCAGTGGCCAAACCAAAGTCGCATAGTTTTACAAAACGATTAGACCTAACGTTGTGTTTAATTAAAATATTGTCGGGTTTGAGGTCCCGATGAATGACCGGAGGTTTGGATTCGTGTAAATACTGGACACTCTCTAAGATTTCTTTGAATATTTCGCATGAAATGAAATATTCAAACACTTTCATCGCTTCGTCCGGTTGTCGACCAAAGACTATGTGTTTGTTTTCGAGAAGTGACCGAAAACTTTGTGAGCAATACTCCATTTGAATGTACAGATGATTGCACTCAAGCCATGAGTTGTAACATTTGACCACATATTTTGAGTCCAGTTTTATCAAACTTGCTACTTCTTTAAGAATTTTCACTTTCTTCTCATCACAAAAATCTGCAAAAAAAATAAATGTCAATTTTATTTTAAAATAATTAATCAATAAATTGTAGCAAAATTTTACCCTCAAATTGAACTCTTTTTACGGCATATATCTTATCATCCAATCTATGCCTTACTTTAAACACTGTCCCAAAACCACCCGAACCTATGGTCGATATCTCAATAAACTGTTGTTTATAATTGCCATCAATTGGTTTATCATATAAATTATGCTCAATTTTGTGATCAACCTCTGTAGGAATTAAATCAACAATTTTGTCCATGGTCTTATTAGTGTGTTTCAATTCAATTGTATTGTAAGTAATTTGGTATTCATTGGCGTAAAAGTCGGTAAAATTATCATAATTTGTTTCAACCAATTCTTGTTGTTTTGTTATTTTATGTATTTTATTGTGCATTAAAACACATATAAAACTAAATCTGTTGATAAATGAATTAATTTGTTGTAACCCTTGGAAACAATGGTTAGTTAGTACGTGTGTCGGTGTCTTCGCAATCACTTCATTATTATAATTGTCATAATATTTGCCACAAAAGTATAGCAAACCACTGAATGTCAGGAAATACGTGCCATTAATCCTACAACTAATCTTTTTGACACCAGTTATGGTTGGTATCAATTGGGGACTGAATATCATATCATCTGTTATATTGTGTCCCAATATATGGTTCACATTCTGACCCCAACTGAAGATCTGTCCATCGGATGCGATGGCAAATGAAGAGCAATAAAAACAATAAATGGATTTTATTTGATAATTGGCCGCAAATGTTATTTTAAGTTTTTTCCAAGTTAACCTCGTTATATTGCCGCAACCCAATTGACCATAATTATTATAACCCCAGGCATACACTCGGCCATCGCTGGTTAGGGCCAAGACATGAATACTACCACAACAAAGTTGCACAATAGTTTTATCATCAAAACCATACATTATCTCTGGCAGTGGACATATGGGAGCTCGGTAAAACATATTCAATAATGTTACTTGATTATTACCCCGAGCCAATTGACCATAGTCATTATTGCCAAAATTGTACATCTGATTTGACCCGTTCATCGCTATTACAAAATCACATCCATTGATAAAGTATTGTATGTTTTGTTGGCATAATTGTGGTATCAGTTCGGGTGATAGGATAGGGTTGTTGTGTCCCAAACCCAGACATCCGTTATAATTATTGCCAAATCCATAGACATTCTGATCGCTTGTAACGAATATTATGTTAATATTTTTGTCCCAATCGTAGAAAATGTGTAGTTTTATAATTGATTCCCAGATATCGGTCCGGATTTCGTTACAATTATTGAATTTCTTTAATAATTCGCACATTTTATACAAATTATTATTTTATTTTATTAAATTATTTTATTCACTGTAAAAGAATTGACTAAAATTGCAATTAGTTTTGTGGTTAATAATACTTAAATACAACTTTTTTATAGATAACAAATAAAATATAAGTGAAAACACTTATTGTTATATAGATTTCAATAAGTATTTAAAGTAACATAAATGTATTTTATCATGTAATATTGAGTAATAATACTGTACTTTGACATTTTACTTATATTTATCTTTTATCAATATAACTTATAACTTATAACTAAATAATAAGATTGCTAATTACTCTACAATATTAAAGAATATAAATGTTATCAATTTAGATGTGATTAAAATATAACATAATGCTGCAAATTTATTTTATTATAAGTATGCGTTAACATAATATTTTAAAGAAATTATTAATTAAAATAAATTCTGTTGTTGAATAATTTGCAAATATTTTAATATTTTAATTGATGTTGTAAAACATATAAATGATATTGACATGCATACATGTATTTTTGTATTATATTCATAAACTGTTTATTATCATGGGTATTTTTACTAAAAACAATGGGAAAAATATTTAATAGTGATTAAGATAGAGATAACAATTTTTAATAACTTTAATAACAATATGTATGCAATTCTTTACGATTTAATGAATGCATTGTGTTTAATTATAGTGTATTAAACTAATAAATCATTTCATTCTTTATAGATATTTATTTATACTAATTAAATGTTATAAATATTTATATAAATAATTAATAAAACAGAATAATGGTATGTTTGTTTTAAATTATTTTATTTTCCATAACAATAATTAATAATCAATCCATAAAATCGCTGATTTCTCCCTCTTCCTCGTCGTCGTACAGATTCTTGATTCTCGACGACAAGAATATAATGATTACATCGAAAACGGATCCCAAGAAATACAGGGTTAGTGTCAGGCCGTGGAGTCGGTTCCGGAATTTGTCCGAATCATAGACCAGACAATTACCGGTTTTGCCGCACTTTGACTCCCAGACCTCACACGCCGTGTTTGTGACCGCGCCGTAGACCAAAGGGTATGGGATGAATGCTGTGTACATTTTATACATATAATTTCACATTTTTCAATTAATTAGCTTAATTATATACCAAATAATGAGTAGAATGAGCCCCATAAACCGGACGCCAAACTTTTATCATATTTATCGACCATGCTTTTTTTTAATATAATTATAAATATAAAATAAATGTCTTGGTCAATTAATTTAGAATAAATATAAATACCGGAAAGATATAATAGCATTGCCAGTGCGGGCCAGAGTGCCAACAAAATTACTGATACTAAACATTGCTATATATGTTTGAAATTTATGACCACAATCTGTAGGACAGTAGCCCTCTGTAGCCACTCCTGAGCCACCGAAACAATCACACGACGAATATTGCTATAAAATATAAATTATTTTAAATCAATTTCTATAATTAATATTGATATTACATTTTTGCCATTGATTGCGCTCATAATAGAGTCGGGTTTACAACCGGCAAAACATGGTGAAAAATAATTGGTATAATTATCCGGTCCACATATTGGTCTGAATGTATTAGATGAGCATGCACAGTTGTTATTGCACAGGGATTGTACATCGACACTAAATTGAAAAGTTGAATTTATAAATGTTTATAATATAGTATAAAAATATTGTTATACTTTGCGTTATTAACGGGAAGTGCGGCGAAGGGTGTGAGCGGACAGCCCAGGAATAGGGCCGATATGAAGCCGATTGTACCAAACAATTCAACAATAGTGATGACTGATGTGAGCACTTTAGGCCCGGGCTGTGTGTATTTAATGAATACTCCGCCCAATAATATACCAATGCATGAGGGAACGATACCAATGATACCTTTCATTAAAATGAATATTTATTTTACAAACATATCTTTTTATTATAAAATTTTATATAATTTATATAATTTAAAAACAGATTCACAACTCAGGAAAAAAGGTTGGAAAAAATACAATCAATACCTGACAACATGTTGGCCGAAGAGGCGGACTGTTTATACTGGGATTCCATGTATTTGGGTTTGAATGTCATATACCCTAACACTCCGAACAGTCGCAGAGTTGTGCCCAAAACAAAGCACACAAATATAGGATTCTTGAGTAACCGCATGAGTCTAAAACCCAGACCTGATATTAAACATAATTAATGTTATTAATTAGTTTAATCATGATTATTTTAAACACATTTAAACCACTAAACTTACTTAGTTCGGCATTTGCTTTATTGATGGCATCAGCCTTTGCTTTTGCTTTGGCATCACGTTCAATTTGTACTTGTTTATCAACATAATTTTTGTTGTCGTCTTTACTATCTGCATAATCATCAGGGTGCTTTTTGGCAAACTTTTTGGGAAACATAAACAATGGTAATGCGAATATGAATATAAGTACGCCCAATAAGGCAAAACCAATCCACCATGCGCCCACGTAACGAGGGTCCCTTTTGTCCGTTATACCAGGGTCAACTAGAATTTATTAAATTGGCCATATTATAAATTATTAAATCTTCTAGTGTTAAATTAATTTATAAATGTTCACAAACTCAATGGGTTTTCATAGTATGTCAATACATATGCGGAGAGAAGGAAAGCGATTGTCGGACCCAACAGTCGGAAACACGCGGCCATACCTTTAAAATTATATGCAATGTTAAATGATAACATTGAAATAATTAAAATAGTCTAATCTTTAATAAACGATTAATAATTTACCAAACAGATATAACACAAAAATTATTTAATTAAAAGTATTTAAAACTAATTAAATAAAACAAACCTTGCTAAAAACAATATTATAAATAAACATGGACAAAAAATTAATTGCTATACTTATATAAATGGGCGAATTCTTCTTCTTGACGCTGTCGTCAATGAAAGGCATACCAATCGTCCAGAAGGCAGAGCCGCCCACACCGTTCAGCGCAGTGGACAGCCATAGGAATAGCACTGGTATCCAAACACTACGGCCACTATCACTGGCCGCGCAACTACTGTCCACACCTCTATTGTTATCGCAATACTCGACCGTTTTATTAACAATTTTTGTGCCCAACATGTGTACTCCCGGGCCGTATATAATATATGGAACTGTTGCGAAAAAACATCCTAAAGACACCAGGATCATTGACCAGCCAATCAGGCGTGGCCGGTGCAACCGGTTGGCCAGGTAGCCCATAATTGGTCTAAATATGAGTCCACTCACGTCGTCGGCGATCAATATAAAGCCGGACACCAGACTGTTAAAGGCGTACCGTTTTTCCAGCGTGGTCAACGAGGCCACCATGTACATGTAGGCTCCACCTTGTAATATACCCTCTAGGCCAAATAGTAGCAGGAACATTTTAGGTGTTGCCCACAACTGGAGCCACTTTGGCCGCCACGAGCCGATGCCACAGCCCGTGGACTCGTCGTTGTTGTCATCGTCACCGGTATAGACAGCCATTTGTGTCCACCCGTTATAGCGAACGCACAGACAGTATTAACTGGTATATGGTTTTTAGTGATAATTATTAATTAAAAACAATTATAGCTTTTTATGATATATATGAAAACCCTTTCACTCACTCTCTCGTATATCATATAAAAGTTTGTGCAATAAATTAATTGACAATTTTTTAAACATTTTAGTTATAAAATGCTTGAATTGATTGATTGATATATCGTTCAGATAATGTTTAATCAGTGTATGATTTCACAAATATTTGATCACTTGTTGTGTAATTCGTTGGAAAGGGTGATAGAGGGAGAGGAACGGATAGTTTTGGAGGTATCTTAATAATATCTAATCCAGTGTTGTGTTAATTAATTTATACACTCTTGGTATAATTTTTAATTATCAATTTTAATTTAAAATATTAGTTTTAAAATGATTTATCATGAAATTTTTAGGCAATCACATGTGAACTTAATATTTATATAACACTGTTAAATTAAATATTGATTATTTAATTGACCTCGTTTATATTTGATAAATCATATGTCTGTATGGTATGTGTAAACAAATTTGATAGACATGGTAATACAGTATTATTATTAATAAGTACAGTGCATGTACATTATGTTCCGCTTAAAAGTTAGATTATTTAGTAAAGTTGATTTTATCCAGATTTTTTTTCTGTAAGGGAAGTTCACATAGTACGTTTCCACGGTTTTTTTAATAAGTTCAACATTTTTAAACATTCAATTTTATAATATTTTATGTAAATAGAGAAATTCAATTGACACATATCCCTTTAAGGATAATTTTATAAATAAATATTTAATCAGCAGACACTTTATTTATAGATATTTTATTATAATTGTGTGTAATTATAATTAATAACTGAAACATTAAATATGGTGACAAATTGCAATGACATAAAAATTTAATAATTTAGTTTATAATCAATCATAATAAATTCTTTAACTATTTTTTAGTGTGAAAATCTATTAACAATAAATAATTCATTGTAATTAAATGTCATTATTATGTTTATTATCCTCTTCCTCGTCGTCGTACAGATTCTTGATTCTCGACGACAAGAATATAACGATTACATCGAAAACTGATCCCAAGAGATATAATACTAGAGTCAGACCATTGAGTCGGTTCCGGAATTTGTCCGAATCATAGACCAGACAATTACCGGTTTTACCACACTTTGACTCCCAGACCTCACACGCCGTGTTTGTGACCGCACCGAACACAAGCGGGTATGGAATAAAAGCTAAGATGATAATTAAGCGAAATTATAATAAAATTATACTGTTTGAACATGGTAATACTAAATGAGCATACCGAATAACGAGTAAAACCCGCCCCATAAACCTGAGGCCAAACTTTTGTCGTATTTATCTACAATTCTAGATATTTATATTTTTTAATTAATTTTATATAAACTTTTTAATTGTTAAAAATTATAGATACCTGAACGCTATAATACCATTACCAGTGCGGGCGAGTGTGCCCACTAAATTAGCAATACCAAAAATAGTTACGTATGTCTCAAATTTATTACCACAATCTATTTTACAGTATCCCTCTGTGGCCACATCTGAGCCATCAAAACAATCACATGACGAATATTGCTATTGAATTAATAAATTATTAATAATAATATAATTTTAATAAAAATATATTTTACATTTTGGCCATTTATAGCGATCGAAATAGACTCGGGTTTACAGCCAGCAAAACATGGTGAAAAATAATTGGTATAATTATCTGGTCCACATATGGGCTTAAATGTGTTTGATGAACATGAACAATTGGCATTGCAAAATAAATGCTGATTCAAGCTGTATGATTTAATTTTAAATTATCAATATCTAACATATTATTTTTACAAAATATTGTTATACTTTGGGTTATTAACTGGAAGTGTGGCGAATGGTGTGGGCGGACAGCCCAGGAATAGGGCACATATGAAGCCCACTGTACCAACCAATTCAACAATTGTAATGAAAGTTGTGAGAAGTTTAGGGCCCGGTTGTAAGTATTTAATAAATACACCGCCTAATAGTATACCTACAGCTGACGGGACTATACCTACGATACCTATTATAATTTATAATTTACTAAAAAAATTATTTAAAATTAACAATTTTTGGTAGATAAATTAAATATGATTTTATTATATTTATACTGTATTTATACATTCTATTGAGAATATGTAATCTAGTGTTAAAAGGAAAATGTTGAACATAATAAATAAATACCTGAAAATAAATTGGCCTTTGAAGCGGTTTGTTTGTATTGAGATTCAATGTATTTAGGTTTGAAAGTCATGTAACCCAACACACCAAACAGTCGCAGAGTTGTGCCCACAACATAACACACTAGTATTGGATTAGTTACTAACCTTTTAATTCTAAATCCCAGACCTGATATAAAAGCATCATAATAAAATATGAAAAATATTTTTAATTTATTCAAGTAATAAATCAATAATCATTAAAAAAAAATTGATTCTTACTTAATTTAGAATTTTCTTCATTAATAGCATCATGTTGATTTAATATTTTATCTTTATTAATATTAATATTACTGCTATTCGATTGTGTTTTGGGAAACTTTCGGGGAAAGAGAAACAATGGCAATGAAAATATGAATATAAATACGCCCAATAATGCAAATCCAAGCCACCATGCGCCCACGTAACGTGGGTCCCTTTTGTCTGTTATACCAGGGTCAACTTGAGTTTTTTAAATAAACGTACATGATATAATTAGTGAAAATAAAAGTAAAACGTTTAATTGTTTACAAACTCAATGGGTTTTCATAGTATGTCAATACATATGATGACAGAAGGAAAGCTATGGTCGGCCCCAACAGACGGAAACACGCGGCCATACCTTTGGTTTAATGTTTAATTTAAATCGTATACTCTTTTTTGCTAGTAATATATAAATACATAGTTAATTGCCTTAAAATTAAAACATTTGCCTAATACAATTGTATTTTAGCTACAAGTGTTTATAACCTAACAAGATATTAAGATAATAACAATATTGATACATAATTATTATTTAAAATACTAAAACTTGATTTTAAAAACATAAAATTATAAATTGTATATCTAAATAAACAAGAAAAATAAATATAACTTACTTATATAAACGGGTGAATTCTTTTTCTTGACGCTATCGTCAATAAACACCAAACCTATTGTCCAATAGGCAGCGTTGCCAATGCCGGTGAGGGTCGTACACACAGCGTGACCACCTGTTCTCTATTTCAGAGAACTGTTCTCTATTTGGACACATTAGCCACTGTTCTCTGAAGAGGTTTCAGAGCACTATTAAATGTTCTCTATTTTTATTTTAAAATACTTGTATGAAAAACGTGCAAAACAGTAACACAAACTTTTAAAAAATTATATATATAAGCTGTAAATGTTTTACAACATTGTAATTCAATTGAAATATATGTGAAATACAATTAATCAATAAATTTTGTAGAAAAGTATATTATATAAAATAGTCAACTGATATATGAACTTTTGTTACAAAATAATAAAAAGTTGTAAACTTATTCAAAACGTAAATTTGTAAACCATTGAAATGTAATAAGAGTACAAACAAAGCAATTTTATTGTAGAAATATTAAATATAAATACATACCTTTAAGCATCAAAATAACTTTACTAATAAATGTATTGAAAAACACATTGTTATCATAAAATGTTTTTTAATTTTTGTAATTAAATGAATGATAATTTGCTATGATTTACATTAATTAGTAAGTTTACACGTAAAACATCGATGTATTAAATATAAGTTATATAACAATATAACTAAACGGTTTGTAAATGTACTTTATTTATAAAATTTATACAAAATTCATTTATTTGTTTTTTAATATGAATGATAATAGATATCAATAATGGCAACAAAAGCAAAACGCAATCGTTTAACAAAATTTAATGATAAATGGATTGAAAACAATGAAGTTAAAGATTGGTTAAGCAAAAGCGATGACTATAATGCAAAATGCAATTATTGTAATAAAGTATTTACGGTTCAATATCAAGGCTTTGCCGCTATTATACAACATAAGGACTCAGTGACACACAAATCAAACAAATCATCTGTAAATATGAGCAAAACATTGACTTCATTTGTAACAAATATCAATACTAAAGACATGGATAATGTGGCCTTATCTGAGATCTGTTTGACATACCATTCGATAACACATCAACTTAGTTACCGATCAATGGACTGCAATATTAAATTACTTAAACAGTTGTTTCCGGACTCTAAGATATGTCAAGGCATTCAATGTGGCCGAACAAAAATGGAGGCATTGGCTGAGAGTGTGTTGTGTCCTCTGTCTATAGAAAGACATTTAAACAAATTAAAAGGGAAAAAGTTCACGATAGCGACCGATGCATCAAATAAAGGGAATATCAAACTGTTTCCAATAGGTATTCAATATTTTGATATTGAAACTGGAATTGAAAACTTTGTGTTGGATTTTTACTCCGATCCGAACGAGACATCCGATGCTATATATCAACGATTAATTATTTGCCTCAAGAATAATAACGTCGATATTAATGATATCATTGCATATACGGGCGATAATGCGAGTGTAAACTATGGTATTCACCATTCAGTTTACCAAAAGTTTAATGAAATGAACGGCAATATTATTAAGGCTAATTGCAATTGCCATATTCTTCATAATACGGCAAAATATGCTTTGAGTCAAATGCCAATTGATATCGAAAATTTAATAATGAAAATATACGCACATTTCTCTACTTCGGCAAAAAGAGTGAATGCATTGCAATCGTGTTATGAATTGAGTGACAATGAGTTCCACAATATTTTAAGACATGTGCCGACACGTTGGCTATCACTTTATCCAGCACTTAATCGATTGGTCACTAATATTGAACCGTTAAAAGAATATTTCATCGGTATTGGAACCAATGATTTACCAACAATTATTCAAGAATTTGTTTGGGGTGAGAAGTGTAATAATATAACCATATGTGAATTATATATTCATTTTTCTATTCAAATTATGCATATTTTTCATGTTTTGCTTAAGACATACCAAATGAAAGATATGAATTCAACTAATTTATATGATTCTATGTTTCAATTAAAAGCAAAACTCGAGAATCGTATAAAATATGAATTTTTTGGTGCAATAATAAGTGATAATTTAAAATATTTTGATTTAGTAAACCAAAGAAAATTCAAATCCAATGCATTGAATGTTTATAAAAGAGCTCTTAATTATTTAGTTGAACATTTTGATTATAATTCCACTCCATTTAAATTATTTGCTTCACTTAATTTAGATAAAGATATTAATTATGAAAATGTTCGTGAAATATCTCGTTTACTTAATTTATCAGTTAATTATGACTTGTTATTTGATGAGATAAATATATTCAACAGTTATTTGAATAATACAGAACTAATTAAATCCCAAATGAATACTATTACTAAATATTGCAAAATATTGTCTAATAATGATATTAAAAATTTGCAAATTGTTATCCAATCGGTTCTCTCAATACCAATTGGCAATGAATTTGTTGAACGTGTATTCAGTTTAATGCATAGGGTATGGAGTGATGATCGAAACCGGTTAGGCATTGATTTATTAAAATCAGAAATTTGTATTAAAATTAACTTTAATATGGATTGTAGTGAATTTAAAACTTTTGTTAAAAACAATCCCAATTTATTGAAATCTGTAAAATCGAACACTAAATATAAATTTAAGTAATAATTGTGAAATATTCAATAAATTTTTTGTTCTCTATTTGTTCTCTATTTTTTATAAACAAATATGTAAAATGTGCTCTTTTTGCTGAGCAAGAGGTGGTCACACTGCGTACACAGGCATAGAAAGAGCACCGGTATGAATGAACTGCGGGTGCCATCACTGCCCGCGCAACTACTGTCCGCATTCCTATTGCTATCGCAAAACTCGATGGTTTTATTAGTAATTGTTGTGCCCAACATGTGTACTCCCGGGCCGTATATCATGTAGGGAACGGTGGCCAGGAAGCAGCCAACCGACACCACGATCATTGAACACGCAAAGAAACGTGGTCTATGCACTGATGTGGCCACATAGCCCAATACTGGTCTAATTATAATGCCAATGACATTGTCGGCAATCAATATCAAACCGGACACCAGGCTGTCGAAGGCGTATCGTTTTTCCAGCGTGGTCAACGAGGCCACCATGTACATGTCGGCCGCGCCCAGTAATATACCCACAAAACCAAACAGTAACAAAAACACCCGGGGTGTGGCCCAGGGCTGCAGCCATTTGGGCCGCCACCAGCCGATGCCACAGCCCGTACACTCATCGTTGTCATTGTCAATATAGACAGCCATTAGTATTCAATTAGTTAATTAACAAACTATTAACTAATATTACAATTTAAGGAGTATTTATTAATTCATTAAGTTTATAAGTATATTTATTATACACATTTTTATAAATAATTTTTAATTGTTAAAATAAATAAATTGAAAATTATTTCAAACATTTCATTTACAATTATCTCTATTAAAATAAAGGGATACTAAATGTGATATAATATTTAATCATTATTTTATATCAAAATATTTTGCACATTATGTAATACTATGCAGTAATAGGTATAAGATTCAACAACTGTTAGGGGTTTCCCCCATTAAACCACTGTATTTATTAATAAAAACTTTATTTTTATTTATTATTTAGATTGGCATGCTCGGGGCGATTGCAATATAATATTACTGTACTTACATTGTTAGTTAACATTATTTAAATACAGGTTTAAATATAAAATACTAGCCTTTCCCGTTAAACATTAAAACATTGAAATATATATTTTAAGTCAAAGTTGAAATAATTGAAATATTTATTGAAAATTAAAAATCACAATAAGTGTCACACAATATGTTTATAATGTATATTTATGTTACAAAAAGACTATGCATTAAACGAAACACACATTATAATCACTAGAGAATGAATGGCAAAGAAAGAAAGAGAGAGAGAGAGAGAGAGAGAGAGAATGAGAGACCCGATGAATGCACGACTTGCTATACGAGTACTTATTATTCCTGTTCTAAGTATTTATAGTTGTATTTAAGACTCGCTTTTATATATATTATATAAAAGTTAATACAGTATTGTTTTTTGTGAACATATACTTTCAGATCGATAAACAGCTGAATAAATAAAATGTTTTTTCTCTTAGTAAAACTATAATGATTTTTATTTTTCTCGTATTTTTATGTTTTCTTTTAATATGATAAATGAAGCATTTGTGAAGCATATAATCGTTTGAATAGTTTGAATATTTCCTTATTTATAAAATATTCTTTTATATAATATTTAATATAAGTATTAATATTACTTTATATTATACTAGCCTTTCCCGTTAAACATTAAAACATTGAAATATATATTTTAAGTCAAAGTTGAAATAATTGAAATATTTATTGAAAATTAAAAATCACAATAAGTGTCACACAATATGTTTATAATGTATTGCATTTCATCTATGACTCAAATGTGATTTCAATGAAATCATTTTACGCTTCATTGACTCTAGCGTTAGCAGTACTGCCAGTATCTACATAAATATACCTGTACAGACATTGCGTCAATATAATGTATTGCATTTCATCTATGACTCAAATGTGATTTCAATGAAATCATTTTACGCTTCATTGACTCTAGCGTTAGCAGTACTGCCAGTATCTACATAAATATACCTGTACAGACATTGCGTCACACAATGAAATACATTGAATGTATGTACAAACATTCATGTAGCAAACTCTGTCCCCTTCTATAGGCAAATCCTATGGCAAACCCCTCCCAACCCCTGATTGTGTAACGGTTGTAAGTGTGTAACGCTCTTTACTTTTAAAATGAAATGACTTTAAATATATTAATTATTGATTATTGATTTAGACATTAATTATCTAGATATAATTTCAAATAACATGCTGGCGTTTAATTCTGATTATTAAATTAACCCTGTTTTTAACTAGCTACATATCACAATTTGTATAATTAATGATGTATTTGAGACGGGTCTATGGGACAAGTGGAATGAGCATGCTGATATTTTTTGCATATAAAATATTTATCGACGACGGTTACAAAATACCAGTGAGTGGTGGCAATCATATTGCTATAAAACTTCATGATACTTGAATAGCGTTCGGACCATATATTACCGGGTTGAGTTTGGCGGTCGTAGTGTTTGTGGTTGAATTGACCATGATGAAATAAAATTACCGTGAAATTTTATAAACATGATAAAAGCAATAACATTAGATATTATAAGAACAACTTTTTAATTAAAACAAAATATTTTATATTATAAATTAATTTTATTTAATATAATTGTTATTGATTTAAATTTAGTAACTTAACGGATAACCTAGAGGTAAGCCAAATACTTTTCTAATTTGTATTTATTTTATTCCCCATTGAATATCATTGTCAAACATTTGAAAAATGACCTGGTTTTATTGAATAACAGCTTTAAAATATAATTAGAATAATAATTTAGCTAAATAATCAATAGGTTTATATCTAAATATAATAAAAATATAAAATAAAATTTAAGTACATTAAATAATTAATTGTTGCAATCGCTGTCCACTTCATTTTCAATTTTGTTGCCCTT